ACCATCTCAATGATCCAACAGATAGAATAAAAAAAGTGGAAATGGAATCACAACTTTTCCCAGAGGGAGTGGAGAGAGGAATAAGGAGAAAAGTACAAGTAGGAGACTAAGATGGAATTAGAAAGGAGCAGCAGTTGAACTATACCAGGACAGTATGTTATCACTTTGACTTGTATTTGGTTGGCTGATTTTGTTTCTTTAATACTTCTGTAATATAATGGTGACAGTTATACTCTAAGTATAGTATCCATTTTTTTTAAAGAAGCAGGATCCTTATTGCAAACACCAGTATTACCAATCTCAATTGACAGGAGAACTGATCCCTGCTACTCGCAACAGCTGATGCTCAGTAACCAGGATTGGAGGAGGGACATTGGTCCAGGAGATGGTCCTTAGTTCAGTCTACTTCACTGAGAAGCTAATTTAGAATGGCGGCCATGGTTTCCCTCATTAGGGTTGCAGCACTGTGCAAACCGAGGGGGGGGGGGGCTCGTTTGGGAATGGTATTCAGCCATGCTCATTAGTTTAATTTGAATTGACACGCCGTGCATCCACTACCAGATGGTAAGTGCGAATCAACTGTCAGTTGCTGTCAAGGTTGCCGTGGCGGTCCCAGCCATATGCAAGGCATCCACAACAATTAACCTCCGAGAGGACGACTGCTAATTCCTTGTGGCGGGGAGGGGACCGGCCTGAGGAAAACACAAGAGGGCAGTCTTCACTTGACTTCTTTGACAAAGGTGGCGTGAAAAAATTGGGAGGAAAATTACACAATGTTACATTCCAGAAACTTTGTTTATGTGCCAGAAACTATGTTTCTGGCACAAACTATAGGGCCACAGTAGAATAGCTGTTAAAACTGCTAGCTGCAGTAAAAAGCTGCTGATAGGAGGGTTAACTGTTTGAAGCCATGAGTCGGAGTGAGCTCCTGACTGTCATCCCTAGCTTCTGCCAACCTAGCAGTTTTAAAGCATGCAATATGACTAGGTCAATAGGTACTGCCTCAGCTGGAAGGTAATAGGGCAACCCATGCAGACATGCTGGCAAAAAGTTCGGAGATGTCTACGGACTCAGGCTCCTCAGCATGGAAAATGGGACAAGAGCACCTCCCAATGGACAGAGTTGAGCACCGCCTCCAGACGCAGGAGATGAAAAGGCCTTTACCTTATCTGTGTATCGTATCTTGTTGTTCATTGTGTAAAAGGCACTGAATGTTTGCCTTAAATGTTACTGTAATCTGCTCTGAGTCCCTCCGGGAAAATAAAGAGGAAAATAAATATAGTTTATTATTATTGTTATTGTTAATACTGTTGTTGTTGTTATCATTATTATGTTGAATTGGTTGAGACTCTCTGAGAAATTCATTGAAAAACTAGAGCAAAATGTGCCATAACAAGATGTCCCTCCTGAAAAAAAGTTTAATGCACTTTCCCTGTGTTTTTATGATAGAACCAATTAGGAAATGACATGGATCACCCAGAAACACAAATTGTGTTGCATAGTGTTATTTTGTAAAGAAGGCCCACTGACCCCAGAGGATGTAGTTGCCCTTTTAAATCATAATCATAATCAAGGTAAAGGGTAAAGGTTTCCCCTTGACATTAAGTCTAGTTGTGTCTGACTCTGGGGGTGGTGTTCATCTCCATTTCTAAGCCCCCTTGGGATGAGAAAAGTGGTATACAAATACTGTAAATAAATAAAATAAATAAGCCGAAGAGCCAGCATTGTCCATAGATATCTCCTAGGTAATGTGGCCAGCATGACTGCATGGAGCACCGTGACCTTTCCATTGAAGAGGTACCTATTGATCCACTCACATTTGCATATTTTCAAGCTGCTAGGTTGGCAGAAGCTGGAGCTAACAACGGGAGCTCACCCTGTCCTGAGGATTCAAACCATCGGCCTTCTGATCAGCAAGTAGCAGTTTAACCTTCTGCACTACTGTAGCTCCCAATAATGACAATAATAATAACTTTATTTATATCCTGCTCCCTCTCCCCGCAGGGAGTCGGAGCAGCTCACTATAATAAAAATCACAAAATACATAATAAAACAATAGATATTTCAAATTAAATACACGGCCAACAGTAACCAATTACAAAGATTAATTTTGCCATGGATGGGTTCCTTGAGACCCTGAAGGCACTGTTCATCCAAAAGGAAGTTGAATTTGCTTCCTGTTTGGCAAAAAGGCTGCTTGGCAAAAATGTGTTCAGTGGTGCAGTGTTGCCATTCGACACAAGGGTTGCATCGTGCAAACAAAGTGTAACTCCACGCCACCCTAATGGGAGAATGGGGCCAATCTCTCCCACCAATGATCAGATGAAGCCAAGCACCCCACTGTCAAGGCTGTGGCCTTATTCCCCTTTCTGGACTGTCCTCTAAACCTTGTCCTTCATCGCCACGCATCAAACCATTTTTTGGACCCCGGAAAGCCGCTGCCTGATCTGCGCCACCGTGCAGATCAGGACTAATGGGAACATTGGTGTCAGAACGGCAGGAAAGAGCTGCCCGATAATAAATGAAGCTGTGCCGCCCGCAACGAAAGCCTCTCCTCGCCAGAAAAGAGTGTCCTGTCAGGTGCAGTAAATGAGGCCTTCAGAGATGCTAAGCGCTCTGCAGACAGGCCCCATAAGTCACCCGTCAAAAGATGCTCTCAGCCGAACAAATGGAAGAGAAGATTAGAACAGTGGGCTTTGGGGCTCCTGGGGATGCCTGAGCTGAGCGGAGATACCGTGGGCACGAGGGACGAATTTCAGTCCTCCCACCTCCTGCATTACAATTATGCCAATACTGAGATCTCTGCCACTTTCACACCAGAAGCTGCTCTGGATGAGATTTGTCCCTGGCTTGTTGCATTTGTATATGTAGGGAGTTTGGGATTAGTGTTGCATGAGTCCCCTCTGAGCTTAGAATTGTTGCTTTTGGAACCTTCACTCCTAGGGATGTGTGATCCATAAAGAATGGTTCAAAAGTCATTACAAAACTGGGGGGGGGGGGGGGATTGCGTTTTGTTTCCAAAGTGTTTCTAAAGTATACTTAGTGAAAATTTCATGATTATAATGAGACTAATGAAATGTTGTTACTATTTCTCTCCAGTAATTACGCATAATTATGACTATAATTGGGGAAACTTGAGGGGTTACTAACTCTCATTTTTAAAGCTATTGGAGTTAAACTTGCTATAATGTTAGAACACAATGACCATTGTTAGCCCACCAAATTTCAGTACGTTTCACTTATCCTCGTATTTTTGGCGAATTTTCAAAGCTTTTATAAACAACATTTTTAATAATAAAGAAAATCTGTTCCTAGTTTCAAAGTGTTATTTCTTGTTTAATGGTATAGTCCATACTTTGAACATATTTGTTCTACTTCAGAAACTTTGCTTTTGTGGCAGAAACTTTGCTAAATTGGTGTAGACTCAACAAAGCAAAATGTGCTGCTACATATAGGACGATGTCCCTTGTGCAAAGACAAAGTTTTTGCAGTATAATAAACTTTTGCCATCTTTTTAAAAAGATAGAACCAATTAGGAAATGACATTTGTAACCCAGGAACAGAAATCATAGAGTAGAATATTAACAAATGTACTGGAACTCTGGCTGCTTACAGACCAATCTCCTAATTGGGGCTTTCTGATGCTGATGCATACTGGGAAATGTAGTTTAGGGCAGAGCCTTTTGAATTCTTTGGCATAGGGCCCCTCCCCTTCCCAAGACACACTGCTCCCTCTTTTCATGGCTCCTTATGCCAAGACTCCATTAATTCCAGGGTGAGGAATGGCAAGGCAGGCAGTAGGGCAGGCAGGCAAGCGGCCTTTTTTGCTTCCTTGCACTGAATATGAAACAGACTTTGGGAGCCTTCCAAGATTTATAAAAGTAAAATGAAAAAGTATTGAGTCAGTTTCGATTCTAAAATATTTGGTGTGGGCCACGCAAACACTTTGGATATGGCTTCCAACTTACAAAACTTTCAATTTTCTTACATTTCTAAAACTTCCGAATTTTTTTTCACATGCCTACTACTTCCTGTCACTATTTTGAAAGGGACTGCAGGCAGAAATAGGGGTATTTAAGCTTGCCTAGAGGGTGCTGGGGAACATGTGGGGAAATCACCCAAAATGCTATTTTTAAAAAACCTGAGAGAACATCACTCTAGAGATCTCTATGTTCTCCAGTGTGAGTCTATGATCTACTTTCATCAGAAGTGGGCCATAGAAATGCACCAGAGGATATACAAATGCCTAGAGAAGTGTTCTTTCTAGGAATCTCTAGGACCCCATTTACACTGCCATATAATCCAGATTATATATTATAATCCCAGCATATTCTTTTTTGAATGATTGCCATCTGGCAGACAGTACAGGGTGACAAAGACAAGGATAAACAGACTGAAGGATAGCTTTTATCCTAGAGCTGTGGCTATGTTGAACTCTGTGGTTTCGTGCTGATGTGGCATTGGGGGCTGTGTGGTGGTGGTGGGAGTGTGGCGGGATGGGTGTGTTGTTTTGTGGTGTGTGCGAAGGAAGGCATGTAATTTCGTTGTGCGATAGCACAATGACAAATAAAGCTACTCTATTCTATTATCAAAGCAGATAATCCACATTATTATTATTATTATTATTATTATTATTATTATTATTATTGTCCTGCTTTATATTTATACCTCACTTTATCTCTCCTGCAGGAGACTCAAAGCGGCTTTGAACTGGATTGTATGAGTCACTATCTGCTTTTAACTGGATTATATGAGTCTTCACTGTCAAATAATCCAGTTCAAAACAGATAATCCAGATTTTATATGGCAGTGTAGAAGGGGCCTAGGTCCTCCAGCATGACTCTACAATCAATGTCTAGCAGAAGTGGAGATTCCTTGAAAGAACAGGTTAATCAAACCTGGTAATAATCCAATCCACGAAAGTTCAACTCACAGAAACACAACAGACCTTGCTTTTGCAGGATGCCCAAACCATTTGGATTACATGTGTCCTTCCTCACCCCACTCAGATGAATTGTTACCTCGGTCTTCCTCCTTCTCACGCACGTTCCTTCCCTTGAGGGCTCGACTCCATGTCCCGCCATAGTCGCCGACTTTGCTCCGCCCAGGCAACTCCTTGGATGGACTCTTGAACCACGTGCCATACCTGCGGGCCGTGGTCAACGTTTCTGGGGCATTTCTGAATTCCCCACCCAGTTGGGCCGTCCCCGGATACTTGGCCTCCGTCCCAACCCCAGCACGGCTGTTGGGGCTGGGCTCATGCTCAGGCACCCGGGTCTGTCCAGTGAAGCTGGCATGAAGGAACACCAGGCTTCCTGCTGTCAAGTACAGGGCAATCAGCATAAAGAAGCGGATGGGTTTCCGCCGAAAATACCGTTGGAATCTCAGCAAGAGCTTGGCCATGCCAGTGGCATTCCGTTTGGGGAGGAGAGCGCAAACCCGCAGTGCCCAAAGGGGTTAAATCCCACCCGGGCATCAATTTCCAAGGCGGCGAAGGAACAAGCAGTTGATTCCTCCCAAAGACAAAATGCAAGTGTTGTCGCAGAGTCCCACGGGCCAAATAGACCACAAGAAATGCCTCACGGTTCCACAGTTGGTCTCAAAGGCTGAGATGTCAAAAAAAGAAGGCACATCCTCTTCTTTGGCTCTGAGAAGAGGCGGTCCTGTCTCAAACCATCTTAGTCAGAGGCCATTTCCTTTTGTCTCCTCTTAATATCCCCTGCAAGGGAGATGCCGTGGATGGAAGGATCATGTTCAAAAAGATGAGGAGTTTCAAAAGCTGCTTGAAAGCTGATTGGACGCCGCAGCTTTCCTTGCAGGCTGATCCTGAATGAAATGGAAAAGGCCAGGTCGCTGTCTTTCTTTTTCTCCACCAGAGAATGGAAAGGTATCGAGGGACCTTGAAGCAAGGGGGAGATGACTGGAAACTTTGTTCGACAAGCCGCCATTCAGCTCTGCAGCATCAGAGCGAGGAGAGTCAGCCTACAGGGCAAATAAGAAAAGGATCAGAAAGGGAGAAGGAGACCTGAGGCTAGCCACCCCCTTGTTCCACCCCCATTGATTATTTAAATTTCAGGATCCTGGCCTGTGGTTGGGTTTTGGTTTTGTTTGCACAAAAAATACCATATTACCTCGATTCCAGTGCTCACCTTTTTGGACTAAATTACCTTTCCAAAATTAGGGAGCACATTAGATTAGCCTAATATAGCAAAAACCTTTTTGGGTTTTGGGGTTTTGAAAATTGAGGTGCACATTAGATTTGATGGTAAGTAAATATGGGTAATTTTACTCAAGAACAGGAAGAAATTTCATGCAAGAAACCTTTTTTTTGCACAAAAAACATTTTTAGCACCCAAACCATTGGTTTCACGCAAAAATGGTTTTCACACAAAAAACATGTTTTCCTATGAAAGCCATGTCTTGATCTATACAGGATAAGTTTCCTCCAGTTCTATGTGACAATCAAATAGGGAGAGAAGATGACAGAGAAATATTCACTTGGTTTTTCTTGCATGGCAGGGAGAAAACTAGTGTTGTTCTTGATAATTGTATGTGATCTTTATTTCTGGACCTGGCTTTCCCTCCTCATTGTGTCTCGCCAGTACCGCTGTCCCTTGTCTGGTGTCCTTCCACTTGAGCTATTTTGGGCATGTGAAGGCAGTTGGCTTTCCCACCCGGCTGGAGAGAAAAACCTCTCCTCGGGTGCATTCACAGCTCTGGGTGTTTATCTGCAGGCTGCCACCACTACCTTTTGTACTTTACACTCAAAGTGGAAGTTCACAGTTCTGGCTGGTATGAGAGCAGCTCCCGTAGCCTTTTGTTCTGAGATGTCATGCACAGCTGTCTCACCCGCCAGTACCTCTAATACTCAGAGGATCTCTCTGGCCCTAGGAAGTGTGGATTGTAGTGACCCCTGAGACCCAACAAGGTAGACAACATGAAGGACGAGGAAGAACTGGCAAGGAGGAGAGGCTGTAACAATCTACTTTTGCTGGAGTCTCCTGGGAAGGGCAAGATTGTCTCTTCCTCTTTGTTGCACTCTAGACCAGGAACTCCTTTCCACCCATTATCACAGCAATTTATTTTTTAAAAGCATATACAAAACAGAAAATGGACATTTCACAAAAAGCAGTGAAAAGGTGCTATGAAATGGCAATATTCCAAATATTCAAAGATCAATAGTCCAAGGTAGCAAGGTACATGAAATCCATGAATTCAAGAGCATAGGTAGCAACCCTGGAACTTTTCCAAGACAAAACCCATTCAGGAACAAAGGCAAACTTGAAAGCTGAACATGTACTTGATTTTAAGGTGATGTTGTCTGCTCTAACGAGCCCAGAAAAACTTCACTTAATTTAAGCTTAACCCGACCAAACAGTCATGAGGTCATCCCTACGGCACCTGGATTGCAAGGACTGCTTCTCATGGAGTCTTCCTGACCTTCTAATTAACCTTTCCTTTGCTTTCTCCCAGCAGAGACCTAATCTCACATCGCAGGGCAATTTCCCATCTTCTGAAGGCTGAGAAGGCCGATTCTCAAAAGAAACAGAATCCCAAACATCCTCTATCACTTTGGCAGCTGCCGGCCCATCCCTCTGATCTACAGCCTACATTTCTGTCTGTGTTTCAGTCTGATCAGACACAGACTCAATGAAAAATCCACAATTCCCCTCATCCTCTGAGGGAGAATCCCCAGCATCTCCAGCTGAATGCAACTGAATGGATTCTGCAGTGTGGAAGCACCCACAAAAAGCCATTCATCCTTGCCTACTGTGTGCTCATTTGCTCTGACCTCCCTTCCGCCTCTAACTTCTGACGGTTTCCCCTCCAAAATAAAACAAATTGAATGCCTTATCCAACTGTTCAACTGGTTACTTTCAGGTTGACCATCCCCCCAAAACACACGCATGCGCGCACGCACACACACACACACACACACACATATACACGCACACACATATTAGCTTGCATACCCAGCGTTGCCTGGGTTATTTGAAAAATGGTACAAAATGCATAAGGTTGTGGGTGAACTACAACTCACATAATTCCAGGTTAACCTTTAGATACTCTATCAGTACTTAAAGTTTGTTATGTTTGGCAAATTTGCTCTTGATGTATAGTCGGTGGGATTCAGTGTGCTCTCTGGCTGTAGGGTAAACTACAACTCCCATTATGGTGAGTCAGTCCCCTCAAAGCCCTCCAGTAGGTTGAGTTAGTCATGGGGGTTCTGTGTGCCAAGTTTGGTCCAGGTCCATTATCGGTGGAGATCGGTTTCTCTGATTGTGGGTAAACTACAACTCTCAGAAAGGAAGGTCAGTCCCCCCCCCCCCAAACCCCTCCAGTAATCAAATCTCAGCATATCAGGTATGTGTGCCTAGTTTGGTCCAGATCTATTGGTGTTTGGGTTCACTGTGCTCTCTGAATGTAGGTGAACCACAACTCCTCCAAATCAAGGTGAATTTTCCCCAAAGACCTTCAGTATTTTTTTCTGGTCATAGGGCCTCTGTGTGCCAAGTTTGGTACAATTCCATCATTGGTGGAGTTCAAAGTGCTCTTAGATTGCAGTGAATTGTTAATCCTAGTACCTACTACTCCCATAAATTATGGAGAATTCTCCCCAAACCTCTCTAGTATGTTCAGTTGCTGATCAAGTCCTCTGCTTGCTGTGTGCCATAGAAAAGAATAGGAAAAGGTTAAGGGAGAGGCAGAGGGCGGAGTCATACAAATTCCACATCAATGGAGAGAGTCGAAAACACTGGGATGTCTGTGGTGGAGGAAACACATAAAATCTAGGATGAAATTGTCCTCGTATGAAAATCTTTACTTGGATGGTGGGCAGTATGCTGTTTGTGGAGGACATTGGCAGAGCTCTTGGGCATGTTCATGGCGCTCACTATAACCTGCAATATCATTGGAGGGAGGGCCTTTGGTGTCTCCTGAGTAGTGGGAGCTATAGCTGTTTGTGAAAGTGGGAGCTTGTCTGTGTAAGTGGACACCCCATCCACACACACACACACTTTCACTTTTATTATGTGTATAGAATATATATATAACATTTTATTATATTATATCTGTCTTTAGGTTGGCTGCATCAGAAAGAAGCCGAAGGTGATTCTGCTCTGAGATGCTCATTTGAGGTTTCGCAAATGGAAAATGCAAATCTTCAGGGTTGTTTTAAAAGGGAAAGAAAAGAATGGCTGCTTTGAAGAAAGAAAGAAAGAAAGAAAGAAAGAAAGAAAGGGCCCTTTTCTTTGCTTTGAACAGCTCCGACAGCTGTTTAACCAACAGTGAATAATTCACACAAAGATTGGGATGGTGAGGAACGGAAAGGTGAAGAGGCCCGTCGCCATGGCTTCTCCTTCGACAAAGCAAAGTGATGCTCAAATACATCAACAGAAAACTTGCTACACACACACATATTCTGTGCTTCCTCTGCTTCCTCTCCTCTGCTTTTGCAGTTTGAACACAGATGACGGCAATGGATGGAGGCTGAGGACAAAGAGGGAAAGTGAGAGAAAAAGAAATCGGGACCTTTTCAATGCATCTGAGAATTTGGGAAGGCAGGGAATTAAAGGGTAAGAATCCTGCCAAATCGACAGGTTGGAACTATGGGATGAAAAATTATGGAGAAAGAATGGCAGGATCGTTGGCTTTCCTCAGTCCCTGACCCCCAAGCAGCTTTAATGCAGTCAGGAATAACACCAATAGACCTCCTTCCCTATGAACCTGTTGAATATTCCTCTTTTCACTGAAGCTAGTGAAGGCAGGAGGGGACTGGCAATACCACCGGCTTTGTTGAATACGCCACTTTAAAAAAAATGCTGCTGAATTTATTTGCAAGGACACCAACGACAACCAAAGTCCCAAAATAACCCACAAGAAAATAAATGGAGCACCCTGAATGTTATTAGTTTAATGGGCCCTAATGTTCCGCCATCTGTCTCGGAATGATTAAGTAAAAAAATATACGCCAAGAGCGTGGCATATAAATAAATGTTTTAATGTGGCTCCCTGGCACAATTATTCACACACATTCCTCCACGTGGAAGGGCTGGCTTCATTGCGATCTACGCCGGGGGCCTGTTTTCCCAGGGAGGGTGTCCTAGAAATGTCCGCCGGAGCCAAAGGGAAACGGGTCATTGGGCTTGAGGTCCTCCAGTGTTTTGGACTTCGCCTCCCAGCAGCCCCTGCCAACTCAGCTGACAGTGAGGGCTTCTGGGAGCAGGAGTCCACAAAACCTGCCAGACCCAAGGTTGGGAACTCTTCCCTAAATACACTGCAGTTTCTAGGTTGTATTGCCAAGCTTTTGAAAAGAAGACTCCAAAATATTTAGGAAATGGTTGACAAATCCAAAGGGAGGCAATAATGCCAAATGGGAAAGGGGCTTCACGGTTCAGAATTTATTCTGCACGAAAAATTAATTGTTTGTGCAGAAATGTCATTTTCTGCGCAAAACATCCTGTTTTCTGTGCAGGAAGTGCCCTTGTTGTCACTATTTAATCATTATTATTATCATTAGGAAGCAGCCAGGCTTTGAAGCTGCAAGGCCATTCAATGCTAATCAAGCTGGCCAATGGCAACATTCACACTTGCCTCCAACAGACAAAACTTCTTTCTCCCATCCTGGACATTATTCCACAGGTAACTCTCTCTCTCTCTCTCTCTCTCTATATATATATATATATATATATATCCTACTTGCCTAGTTCCCAACAGACCTCACAACCTTTAAGGATGCCTGCCACAGATATGGGTGAAATGTCAGGAGAGAATGCTGCTGAAACATGGCCAGACAGCTCAGAAAACTCACAGCAACCCAATACATGTATTACCTGCCTCTTCCTGTCCCCTATGCTCTAAGGCAGTGAATTGGCTATGATTTTGGGTCACGGAGGGGTGCAACACCGTCCATTTTCGGACATTGAAATTCCTTGACTCCCCTTCCAAATGGCCACAAAAGAGGCCAAGGAGGGGAGGAACGT